CGTCTTTCTCTCTCTCCTTCTCCCCCCTCGCTCTTTTATCCCGGCTGCTGCTGCCTACCCAACCGCACACCACACAAACGCCAATTCGGCACGACACAAACGCCAATTCGGCACGACACAAACGATGTCGGCGCTTCAAAACGATGTCGGCGGCTTCGAAACGATGTCGGCGGCTTCAAAACGATGTCGGCGGCTTCAAAACGATGTCGGCGGCTTCAAAACGATGTCGGCGGCTTCAAAACGATGTCGGCGGCTTCAAAACGATGTCGGCGGCTTCGAAACGATGTCGGCGGCTTCGAAACGATGTCGGCGGCTTCGAAACGATGTCGGCGGCTTCGAAACGATGTCGGCGGCTTCGAAACGATGTCGGCGGTAGGACGGAAGCATCCACCGCTTCAGCGCGAAGAACACGGTGCTCGCCACCGGCGGCTACGGTCGCGCCTTCTTCTCGTGCACCTCCGCGCACACGTGCACCGGGGACGGGGGTGCGATGGCCATCAGGGCCGGCATCCCGCTGGAGGGTGAGTGAGAGCCGCCGCGCGATCGTGATGAGATGAGGATGATGATGGTGGTGATGGGGATGGTGACAAAAGTGATTGCCGTGATGAGATGATAATGATGGTGGTGTTAGCGGTGGTGGTGGTGGTGACAAACGTGATTGCGTGATGAGATGATGATGGTGGTGTTAGCGGTGGTGGTGGTGATGCCAAAAGTGATTGCGTGGTGAGGTGATGATGGTGGTGGTGGTGGTGATGGTGGTGACAAACGTGATTGCGTGAATGAGATGATGGTGGTGGTGGTGGTGGTGGTGGAGGTGGCGCCGACTGGTGGTGATGAACAAAGGTGATTGCGGCTGTATCGCAAAGTGCGTTGCGCGGATGATGCATCTCCGACTAAACGCTGTGGTGGTAGTATTGCTGCAGGGGTTACGTCATGACATTGTGGGAGGGACGAGGATACCCTGTTCGTGACGGGAAAATGTTTGCAAGATGACGAAAATGTGTACCATGGTAAGCCGCCGTTGTGGTAGTGGTATAAAGCACGGATCAAGATAAGTTTTTCCGACCGCAGCAACGGTGGCATTCGCGATGATGGTGAACAGGGATACGCCGATGCTCGAGATACTGAAGAAGATACAACAAAATGGGTTTGACACAATGTTCGGCATGTTGAGCATGACAGACACCGATAGAGTCAAATGGTTTTGACATGATATTCGGCATGTTGAGAATGCCTGACACGGGTGTGAGTAGCTGTAGGTGGGGTCTAAACGATTGCGCGCTGGCGTTCTACCCACCGACGTGAGTCACCGACGTAGACTCGGGCATCGCGTACCCTGTTGTTGCAAGGTGTCGCTAGGTGAGCCCCCGCGGCGTCTGGCGACAATCGGCAACCGCGGGTTTTGGCGCGATATTTAGCTGAACTACAGCTCAAACCAGTTCCGCAATACAAGGCCGAAATACAGCCCAACAATTTCCCCATCGTCAGGCCTCTCTTTTTATGCTCTCCCTCCTTGTCTCTCACCGTGTCGTGCCTTCCTCTGTCGCCCCCGCGTCCCCTGTCGTTTGCCGTTGGCGTACACACGTGCCGCGCTTCTCCGTACGCGTGTACGCGACCCCCCCCCCTAATACAAATAAAAACGAACACACACGCATCCGAAAAAAAAAAAGACCCGGAGTTCGTCCAGTTTCACCCCACGGGCATCTACGGGGCCGGCTGCCTCATCACCGAGGGATGCCGAGGAGAAGGCGGAATCCTCAGGAACAGCGAGGGGGAGCGATTCATGGAACGGTGAGCTATAGCATATACCCATGGTATGGTGGTATCGTACGTATGGTGGCGCAACAAGAGATGGAATAAATAGATTTTGACTAGAAACGCGGAGCTTCCGGACGTGCGTATATCGTGAGGCTTCCTTCCTGGCTTGTACCTGTCTGTGGCAGCCTTTGTGTTGTTTATTTTGATGATGTGGTCTCTCTTAGTAGGCCTTGGTGAGGGCATGCAAATCATGAGTACCCCCCCCCCCCCGCGGGGGGGGGGGGGCGCTGCCGTTTATGCGGCCCCAAGGACCCCCCTTCCGCGAAAGAACCCCCGGCCCC